TTGTTAAATATTTGCACTTCAATATATTTCCTGATGTTACGACTTTCTGGTTCATCAGACTTGGTAATTTTTACAAAACTTTTTTGTCTTGTTCTTAATCCTGCAGTGGGAACTTTTGTGTCCCAATTTATCGCAATTAAAACATTTTTATCTTTAAAAAGACAATCTCTATACCAATGTAATTGACCACACCCGAAACATGGTCGTGAGGGCAAAGTAACTTTATTATTTTTTGGTTGACCTTTTTTAATTTTTCTTTTGCGTATTTTTTTAATGTGAGCCACGCCACTCTGTTCGATATTTTTCGAATCCTCTCTGACGCTCACGAAACATTGGCAATCTTCAGCAACTTGCTGTAAAGTAACGTCGAACTCGTTTTCAAGCTTGTTGCGTACCCTACGACGTATTTCGGCGTCTTTTGCTGAAATCAAACCCTGGGCGCAAATCAGGCATTTAAAATTATTGGCGCTTAACTCTGCTAATTTGAAGTCATCGCAGTGTTTATTGACTACACCCACGAAAGTAGTATAATCTTCGTCTTCTTTGCTGGTGAGATTCATGCATTTCCAACGTTTGTGGAACAGTGATGTTTTTGGACTGAAGAGTTCTGTTAATGATTGAACCGCCTTTTTAAATTTCAAGTCGCCGGTTTTCTTAGGCTAAATATAGTTAACAAACTTAGTATATTCTGCTGTGCCTAATTTCTTGAGGAGTAGGCGAATCTTTTTATGGTCAGCTCAACTTGCCCAATCCGTATTGTATAAGTCCTCGTAACGTTTAAAGTACGAAGCGAATGTAATTTCTTCTTCAGGTGCAAACGTGAAGTTTTCAATAGCATTCCATATCGCATTTTGAGAGAACGCGTTTTCGCTGTCCTCATTTTGGCTTTTGATGGATATATTATACAAGTGCCTTTGCTCATTCCGTGTTTGAAGGAATATTTCTTCAAGTTTCTCTTGTCTAATCTGAATTTCTAGGTGTAATTCCTCAAATTTCTTCTGGTATTCTGCTTGTTCTCGTTGGAATTTCTCTTGTCTTTAAGGATGTTTCTGTTCCAACAGTAGTTGTTGTTCCTGTTAGTGTTTCATCAACTCTAGAATTGCACTTTTAAATTCGTTCATTTTGTTGCGGTAGTACATAAAATTAAGAAATGATAGCGGGGGAATTTTTTCTCTTTACCCTCTTATACAACAATAAGTCTGTTTGACTTGTACGATTCTTTTACGGAAAAATTTAAAAGCGGGAGACGGGGTAAATTTTTACTTTACCCTATTAGCAAAAACAATAAGCTGTTTGACTTGTACAGTTCTTTTACTGACTTGTTAGAATGGAAAAAATAACAAGGTTCATCAACTTTCTTCCCAACCACTGAATTGAACTTTTAGAAATCATATTGTTTCGAAGAGTTTCTTTTTTTTTTTTCACTGTCACTGTTGTAATTAACACTGGGTACCCTTTTGTCGTAGAGTTTGATCAAAACTCCTTTCTTCACCAATGTTGTAGACACTGGCAAAAAAATTTTTATGATTTAAAGTGAAGTCCGTTTCTTCGAATCCTTCGTTGCCAAGATGTTGTGACCAAGTAAATGGTTAACGAAATAACAAAACATGTGTTACAGATATAGCATATATTAAACAGTAAGTACAACAGAAGAGTATTACACGACTAGTGAGTGTGTGTCGGATGACCCAGCGTTCAATCTATTCGATTGTTCCCACAAGGTCTTCCGTCCTACTAATCTTATAGTAGGCGGAAGAGTCTAGCATAGACTCTTTAGAGGGAGGACACCACCACAATTATTATTATTATTAGTAGTAGTAGTAATAGTATACGGACACATCGTAATTTCATAGCATCACAATGTACTAACTGGTGAGCTACACTTTGTGATAAAATTGAGAATCCCTTCAATATCCAGCACATTGCTAAGTATCCAAGCTGTTTTCAGTCGTTGCTTGCATAGTCTCAATACCTCTTCGGATTTATAGTTTCTTCAGTTTTTTTGCGAGGTTTCCTGAGCCATATCCGATCGGTAATGCTTTCACCATCATGTCAAACAGCTTTTTCCAGATCTCTGGTGAGGTCTCGATATTTATACATCTTTTCTTTTAATTTGTGGTCCAGCGAACTCTACTATCTGGCACGTTTTTCCCTTTTTAAAACTTGATCTAGTCTTTTCACCTGGATTGTGTGAATCTCAAAGTTTCAAATGAATTTGTCTTTTACATCCTCTAAGATAGATTCTGGTTTGTACCATTCGTTCGTGCGGACAAATCTAGAGAAACTAATAGCAAATATTTATTTTAAATAAACCTTTTTCTCCGAGGAGTATACATATTTTTAGACGCTAAAAATATTAATATTTTTGGCAGTTTTAATCTTGTAGATTTTGGTTATAAATAAAACTTGATAACATGGGTTTGGATTGTGGAATGGTCTAGTAGAAATAATAAAATTCTTTTGGTTTCGAAGAATTTTTTTATAAAAAAAGTGAGAGGGTGTGTAGAAAAATGAAATCAAATCAATAGCATCTCGTCTGCAGTCGCTCTCTCACAGACGTGCCGTTGCCTTCCTCTGTCTTTTTTACAAATACTTTCACGGTAACTGCTCTGATGAGCTGCTTTCGCTGGTTCCCAGACTTCAAGAATTTAAGCGCTCATCTAGGCTGACATCTCGCTCTCACCCTTTCACTGTCGGAACTGTTAAATGTAGCCGTCTCTTCTACTCCAATAGCTTCATGTCTCACACTTCTCGCCTGTGGAAATCCCTCCCCTTTTCCCGTTTCCCTAATAGCTATAATCTTCAACTATTCAAATGTAATGTCAATCGACGTCTCCAAATGCCTTGATCTATCCCCTATCCTTCTCTTCATCCTTTCCTCTATCACTTCTCTTTGCTCTCGCTCTAACTCTCTGTAACCCCTTACGTGTTAGTGGCTTCCCGCCTTGCTTGGGGTCGAATGCCTAAAAAAATAATAATGAATAAAAAAAGAAAACATTTTTCTCATTATACTAGTAATAAAGGAACCAGATATTTCATTACGCCACTTGGTTTCGTCGAAAGCCCATTAGGTGGCGGTGTTTAAATCTATAAATGACGAATATTTCCTTCCTCTTCCGCTTTCCCCTCGTTGCTCCAAGATGTAGCAGGGATGATGAGGACATCACCTCTGGAACACATTCGCTTCCTCGGTCCACTAACGGCTGAACTCTCTTTCCTCTTTCTAGCGCATAGCATTCTCACGTGTCTTCCAAAAACCTACACCTATGAAGCAAATCAACATTTTCTTCGGTCGTTCCAACTCAGCGCAAGGCTGACATGAGCTCTACCATTATAGCCATATTTATCACGATTTGCCCGAACTTATTTCTGGATCAGAAAGAGAAACTCTCTTCCACTTTCTAATGTATCGCGCTCGCACGTGTTTCTCCGAAATTTCACTGATGAAGTAAGACAGCTTTACTTTGGTCGTTTCAACTCAGCGCAAGGCTGATTTAAGCTCGACCATTATAACAATGCTTATCCTTACTTACTCTAAATTCTGGATAAGAAATAGAATGTACATATCCAAGAGACAATGAAAACTTTGTTTCCCAACAGTCACTATAAATAAATAAACTGTCCGAATTTTTTGTATGCGTCTTGCTTAATTGTTTACTTGTAAAGACACACCACACCATACCATAAACCAAACACTGTTTTAAATTCCATAAGTGTATTTCTAAGTTAAACTGTATTTTTTCGTTAATATTAAATGGTTGAATAATTTATGAAAATTCTTTTTTTCCAGCAAAAATAAATTTAATTATTGCAAAAGTTTTGTTAGGTAGCGGTATCGTCTGCTAAATGAAAGACAAAACAATGTTTATCACTTGAATATGGCGCCCATATTAAACGCATTATGATATAAAAAGAAGAAGTATTCGAATCTAAAAAATATTTCTAAGTTTGCGTTTTCATGCTTTCTGAGAATCTAAGCGAAAATTGAAACAAGAACGGCCAGTAATAATATGCTAATATATTTAGAAATCGATTTAAAACACCCGGTTGTCCCGCTAGTTAAAAATATTTGCCAAATACCTTTCTGTACTTTTTCAACTATCATTTAAACTAACGTTGCATTTTAATAATGTGTGACGTGGGATCCATGCAGTCACATAAAAGGATGTTTTGCAGAAGAGAAATCAATATAGTTTCCATTTTATAATTTTCCTTTAGCTGAAAAATATTTGTTTATTTATTTTTGTTTAGATTCCTACCAAATCTGAAAAGAAGCCCCCCCCTCTTCATTTACACCTTTTATTCATTTTTCTCACCTTTTCTCATTTTTATTTTTACTTCCATTTTTTTTCTTCATATTTTACTCGTTCGGATTACATTTTCTTATGTTTTTTTTTATCCTTTATTCCATTTTATTTTTTTGTTCTTATTTTTTCTGTTTGAATTTTTCCCTCTACGTCATATTTTTCTTTCACACATTTACCGCTTTCTCTTTCTCTATTTCTCATCCTCTTGTTCTTTTCAATAGTCATTTTTTTGTTGTCTTTTTGTACTTATATTGTTCTTCTTTTCCTTGCTATTGCTTCTTTCTTTCTTTCTTTCTTTCTTTCTTTCTTTCTTTCTTTCTTTCTTTCTTTCTTTCTTTCTTTCCGGTTTTAGCTTTCTTCCCCCTTACGATTTAAAAAAATCCCTTTTGCCAATTTTGTTTTTGCATCCATAATAATAATAATAATAATAATAATAATAATAAAAGCAGTTATTTTTCAGGAGAAACAAATTATTTTTTTCAAAATGATTTAATATCAACACAATTTTAAAAATTATTTCTATAAAAGTCCAAAATAAAAATTAAAGAATCGTATTAATCAATATTCTTCTGAAGACTAAAGATTAGCATTTTGTGCCCTTTGAACTGCATTAAAAAATTTTTGGAATCTTAAAAGACAACACAGAGATGATTCCTAACAGAGCGAAAACATATTTGGCCCCCAGAAACGAGCATGTCATTTTTTGTTTCACAAGAAACAGCGTTATCATGTGATCTTTCTACCTCCTTTCTGTCTTTCCCACACGCACTGTCTCTTTTTATATTAACAAATAAACGAAAGGACCAAACGTAAATTATTTTTATTTATCTATTTTATTAACTTAATACCTATGAAGATCTTTACAATTTTAAAAAAAAATCTTTCTATTTGTTATCTTTTAACTCTTAATCTCCTGAATATGTATTCAGAAAAAATAACGATATGATATTAATAAAATTTCTAAGATACTTTTATGAAATATTGAGAAAAAACAAAACGTAGCAGTATTTTAAGATTCAAGAACTATTTTCTAGCTATATATATATATATATATATATATATATATATATATATATATATATATATATATATATATATATATATATATATATATATATATATATATATATATATATATATGTGTGTGTGTGTGTATATGCTAACCTGATGCTTCCTGTAGCTAAATGGTATAGCACGTCAGGCTATATGACGGTCCCGTGTAGGATCGATTCCTGTTGGAGAACACATATCTTCTATTAAATTTCTCAGATATTCAGGCCGGTAAATGTAGTTAATACTGTTTATTATAAACACAGCATTTATTTAAATATTTCTATCTATAAAAATAACGTATAAACAATAAATATATCAAATAATTGTCGGACTTAGTTCATTTCATAATATGACGTCATATATATATATAAAGTATCACACAAACATTGAGTGCTGGTGTTTTAAATGCAATATATATCTTTTAAATAAAAAAAAAATGTTATCATCTTATAATATATGGACTGCACCAGAATTGCGCGAAACAGATTTTTTTCATTAAAGTTTAAATTGTGTAACGGTCAGTCTCTGTCCAGCACCTGAATATTACGTTGTTCACAAAACTCCGAGTCGTGTTACCGGTGATAACATATATATATATATTCCTTTTCTTTCTTTGATTTTCATTTATTCATATTCTCAGTTTCGCATTTTTATTCATCCCCTTTTTCATATTCCTTTTCCCTTTCTTTCTTTCCTTTTTCTTATTTTTGTCTCATTTCTCCTTCCTTTCTCAATTCTTTCTTTTTCTCTTCTTTTCTTCCTTCCTTCGACACTTTCTTTCATATTTTTCTTCAATACTTTTTCTTTCTTTGGTTTTTTCTTTCGTTAATTCTTTTTTCTTTCTTTCCTTTTTCCTTTTTCTCTTTTTCTTTCTTTTCTTTCTTTTCTTTTCTTTCTTTCCTTCCTCATTTCTTTTACCTTCCTTCTTCCTTTCGTCTTTCACGTAATTTCGGATGGCCTTCTCACTCCTGATGTTCAAAGAAAATACACAGCGACACGGGTCCTTCAGATCCACCCATCACTGACTCAAGTGGCTCCGTAAAACCGGTGTTGCTGTGCACGCATCATCGCCTCATATTTTTGCCGATGGTAGAATTTCTCATCTTAGGAAGGTTATAAAAATTTTCAAAAAAGGTAGAAACAAAAAAAAAAAAAAAAGAAATTATATAAGAATATTACTCTTTATAAAACTCAATCAATTTTATCGCGAGAATTCTGTCAATTTCCGTCTGTAACGGAAAAGTTACTGAAATTTGGATTAATGCAATTTTTCGGTCGAAGTGTTTTCAAGCCTTGTTAACGGTGTCTGGGACCTTTTATTTTATCAAGTGTTACGATTATTTAACGCATTTCTGTTACGAGTATCTCCATCTTTGTTGTTTTGACCACAACATTTTAGTCGGTTGGCTCTCCGTTCTTCTTCATCTTATTCGTAAATCTGAGCGATAAAATTTAATGCAACATTTAGCCGTGCAATTTTGTAAACGAAAATTAAATTTACCATACGCACATGCACACACACGTATTCCTGCGTGCGTGTGTTTTTGTGATGTGATGTGATGTGTGTGTGTGTGTGTAGGGGATAAAAGATTCTGCCTAAAAGCTTTCGAAATGCGACATTGACATGATGAAAACAGGAATACTTATGAAACAAAATATAATAATCAAAACAACGAAGATAAGGATATTCATCCCTATATTAACTATTCAAACAATGGCAAACTTTATCAAGAATGATCGAAACAGCAAAAATGAAATGGTTTCTTCCCTTGCATTTCTCGCCTGTGTAACTCTCTTTAGGCTTCTTGCTTTCCTGACAACTACGATCTTTAATAATTCAAATGTCAATCGTCATTTTATGTCGTCTTAAATTCCTGTTCTTTTATTGTCCTTAATCCTAAAAAAAACGTCTTCTAAGTTTCTTTCATTTTGAGTTTTTCTCACTTCCGTTTTTGTGTAGCTTTTCGCTATCATCGGGACGGGAATCTATCTATCTATCTATCTATCTATCTATCTATCTATCTATCTATCTATCTATCTATCTATCTCAGTCCTTTTCGTATCTATCTATCTATCTATCTATCTATCTATCTATCTATCTATCTATCTATCTATCTATCTCTTTGTTGTTCCTAAACTATGTATCTATCTATGCACCCAAATCTCTCTCTCTCTCTCTCTCTCTCTATATATATATATATATATATATATATATATATATATATATATATATATATATATATATATATTTTTCATACAAAAAACAAAACACGATGATATAAACAGCTATGGTCATAATAGTGACATGTTTAGCATTAAACCTAAAACATCAGTTTTATTTGAAAGCGCTATGATAAACAGATAAAAAAGTAAAAAAAAAAAAAAGCGAAAAGTGTTTTTTTTTTTTGCAAGAATGTCCAGGAAAAGAAATACTGAAGTCTGGAATCTAATCATCCACCGCGATATGAACTTTACGTCAGTGTTTCCATATTGAAAGACGTCACCAAGGAGAACCTTTTGACAAGGCCTTACGTCCCACCATTTCTACTGAGCCGTGTATTTTAATAACGTCCAATGAGCGTTTTATGCTAATAACACGGTAAGGGCTGAGGTAACGGACAACAAACAGACGACACAAACGAAATACAGTGGCGACAAATTATTTCTTTTATTTTTGGCGGTCTTTTTTTTCTTCCTGTGCTTGTTTTCGGTGGTTTCCATTTAAATTATTCAAGTTGTGATGATTAACAACAACAATCAGACCATATTTTAATTATCAATGTGTATTCATTCATAAATTTCCTTTGTACTTATTTATATATTTTCTGTCACATCTATAGTGGGAAGGGAGGTAAATCCTCTTAAGTTAGCTAACTTACGAGTGGTTACTTTCCTTAATCGATTTAATAACTTATGCAATAAAATATTTATCTTCATTTAGACAAAATTAGTTCCCTTGAAAAATGAACCATTAAATTAATCAGTTCCTTTAGTCCTAGGTTTATTAGATTACAATCTTATTTGTTTAAGTCTTTCATGTGAGGTACGCAGATACTTTTGTCTATTAAGCGATCGACTTACTTCAAGTTGGTCTTGAAAAGGTGTTGTTATCGACGTCTTTGTCGTTCTGTTGCTAATCTTCCGTTTGGGAGATATTTCCATTTCATTGTTCTATTAAACACATAAAATGTTTAGCATGAAAAGATATTGATCAAAAAGCGATTTATATAATACGAGGAGTAATCAGTGAAGCATAGATGCCATTGGTACCATCGAAATAATAAAAAGAGAACAAATTAATTAAACGGTTCATTGGCTTCGATTTTAGTAGTGAATTCTTTATGGCAGCTTTATTGAATGTAAATACATTGTTTCAAAACTTTGTTAATTACATTGCAAAAAAGTTTCTAACAATTGGCGCCATTTTGGACGGCACGAGTACATAAATAATAATAATAATAATAATAATTCTTTAACATTTTTCTTTTACTAAGACACACCGATAAGTGGCATTTTCCAGAATAATGAAATCTCGTATTTGCAATTCTATTTTTCCCACGGAATATCTAAATATATTCATATCTATCTATCTATCTATCTATCTATCTATCTATCTATCTATCTATCTATCTATCTCTGGTTGTTCATGATCTATCTATCTTTTTCTGTCTATTCATAACTATCTATCTATGTTTTCAGGAATCTCTCCCACCTCCCTTGGTAGACTGATACATTTTTTCTGCGCACATCTCTCTTTTTATCTCTTTAAATAAATTTCTAAAATACATCCTGTAAAAGTACATTAAAATCAACATTAGTCAGGGCCCCTGTAAACAAGCAAAAAAAAAAAAAAAAAGAAGAAGAAAAAAACAAAGAAAAAAAGGAAACGATATAATCCTTGGGATGTAAAAGAGAACAATTAAATAATAAAAAGTAAGAATGATTTAATTTGTGACGATCACCATCATCACACACATGTATACATACTTATGCAAATTCAAATTATACAACAACAAGCATTCATTGGATAGTAAATCAACACTACTGTGTAATGCTACAATTTTATAATCGCTCTATTTTCATGTAGCCGATTTTGTGCACTTTTGGGAGAATCGGATCCCAGCAGCTTTTCGCGAGTCTCCCCAAATCTCGCTCGCTGATTGGTCAATGCCAACCAATCAGATTGTCTGCACGTGAAGAGTGATTCTTCCCGCGCAGCGCTTTCGAAGCCGATGGTCACCTATATAAGTAAAGAAAATTCTTAGTAAACCAGTGAGATCTCAGCTGCCACAGAAATCCATGACATTTGAAACCATGCGCCAATCTTCTCACTCACACCACCACTCACATGCTGAATATTCCCTATACTCACATAATATTTTTCTTACACAGCAAATCCATTGAAAACATTTATTAACAGAAACTATTACAACCTTATTGCTTTCAGTGAACTTTGGAACAATTGATAGTTAAAGAGAGACAACTCTTGTTTTACTCAATGCATGCTTTTCTTTCACATCCTTTGTACATCTTGTTAAGTACAAATTTTATATGTAATGATGTCTTTGGCTTATCCTCTTTTTCTTCACGTCAGTTTGGTTTCCTAATCTAAATTAAATAAATGTAGTGAAGTCCGCCACAAATTTTTATGTCCGTAATAAGTTTTTAGTAAATTTTCATTCCCTCTCAATATTAAATTTCTTCAACAGGTTTGTGAAAATGACCATCAACTAGAGAGACAACATTAATTGAATAACAAAAGTTCTATAAAATATCGTAATTTTCATAATAAAAAAGAAGGCAGTCAATACTTACTTATTGACACAGTAACAGATTTGAAAAGTTAGGTATATAACATGGCTGTTCGTTTAAAAATGAAGTCACGTTTTATTTACATAATTCGATTTGCTAAAACAACGAAGTAGAAAAGAAAAAAGACAAATAAAACAGAAATATTTAACATTTGAAAGCCAAATAAGAAATCTTGTGTTGAAGTTTTTTCTTTCAAAATAAGCAACATATTTTAGTGAAAAATCAAAATGGCCGCTTTTTGTTGGTTTCCAACAAAAATCGGCCATTTTGATTTTTCATCTTAGAAATGATTGGTGTTTAGAACAGTATCTATCTTTTTATTCATCTTCTTGCAATGCTTTGTAAAAACAAATAGGAATTGAGTACTGTTTACTTTTTAGACGAATGTTAGATTTGATGGATTTTCTCGTATTTGTTAGAGAAAGATTATTTGCTTTCTTTTTATTAGTCAGTCGCAATTCAATCAAATACTGGTGATTGTAAATATTTCATGGTAGATTTCTTAGTGTTGTGACATTTACATTCTGTAATGAAATCCATTTTCTCATTTTGTCCCAAGTTTTGAGTTGAAGAATTCTCATGATTCCACACATTATTCAAACTAGTATCATCATAATTGTTGTTTGTATCATTTCAACCATTGGTGTTGCTGTTTTATTATTTTCTCAAACAAAAGACACCACGGTTTAACCATATTATAGTCACAGCCTTCAGCTTGCCAGAGAATTTTCAAGGAACATGAAAAAATATTTTTATCAAAAAATCAGTTCTATCTTAATGTGATAACAGTTAAAAGTAGTTCTGAACCAGCGACTTTATCCTTATCGTTGTTTGGATTATTGAATTCGTTGGTACATTTCTAAACTTTTTAGTTTCTCTTTCCACGATTTCATTTACCGATGAAAACAAAGTTGGAGCCCTGGGATTGATTGAAAAAGATTCTAATAGACTCATTGAAGGGATTCCTGGCAGCCCATGCCTTAAAGAAATGCAAAAAATGGTTCTCACGAGTACAGCCCACACCTTACGAAGGACTTTATCTATATAAAATATGTGTGATATATTTTTTTTTAAATTGCGCAACTGGAAAATGTCATGATGCCATTTCTGACCTTAGGTCACTGAGCGGGACCCGAAAAGAAATGACAACTCACCAGAAATCAAAGGAAGTAATAATAATAATAATAATAATAATAATAATAATAACCTCGTACCCATCAATGGTTACGTAGTACAGGGCTAAAAGCTGAAACTGAAGTTTTTATCCTTGCTGCACAGGACCAATGCTTGTTAACTAGAAATTATCAAGTACACACATTAAAATATTGTGTTAGCCCAAAATGCAGATTCTGCGATAAATATCCAGAAACATATCATTATCAGGTTGCACGATATTGGCACCCACTGAGTATAAAACGCTGGAAGGAAACTGAAAGAAACTGGTATGAACACCACCTAGATCCAGTTACGGTGATAAGACCTGTTACAATTCTATGGGACTACACAATACACACTGACAGAACAATCGAAGCCAACCGCCCAGACATTGTTATTAAAGACCACAAACAGAAAAGTGCCTCTTTATTGATATGGCAGTCCCTGCGGACTGCAATGTATCTTTGAAGATCTTCAAAAAGCTATCAAAATCCATGGATCTTGAAATCGAAATCTCAAAAATGTGGCACATGGGAACATGAACAATACCTGTTGTAGTTGGAGCCCTCGGATTGGTTGGAAAAGATTCCAGTAGACTAATTGAAGGGATTCCTGGAAGTCTATGTCTCAAAGAGACACAAAAAATTGTTCTCACAAGTACAGCCCACACCTCACGAAGAGCTTTATCTATGTAAAATATGTGTGATTTTTTTTTAATTGCTCAGTGGAAAATATCATAGTGCGATTTCTGACCTGAGGTCTCTAGTCAGGACCCAGAAAGAAATGACTACACACCAGAAATCAAGGGAAGTAATAATAATAATAATAATAATAATAATAATAATAATAATAATAATGCCCTGACACTCTAGCAGGCATGGTTCTCATAGCTTCTGATCTTAACATGTATATGATGTTAACATGTATATGATGTTAACATGTATATGTTATGTAATGGTGGATTAAGATGGTCTATAATCAATATCCCGTTCAGTACCATTGATTTGTTTATCAGTTGCCTGAGAAGAACCTGTTGTGTATGTCCTTTACGAGTTGACACATTGTGCGTCTCTGTTAATCAGCGGGAATTGTGGGTAGAGGAAGTGTAGCATCATGGCCGGGTGTCGAGAGTTTTTTTTAATTTTAAGTTTGAAGAACGAGACATCCAAAACGATGTGGGAATTATGTGGAAGCCGATGTGGTAGATATTTGGAAAAGCCCTCAATTTGAGATCATTCTGAGCAGGCTGAGTTTCTCGAACCTGAAAGCATTTCAGGTTGCAATCTTTTATTAACATCTGTTACCTTATTGTACATATTTGGCTGTGATGTTGCTCTTTGCCATTCAATAATAATAATAATAATAGTAATAATAATAATAATGTTGGAAAAGGTTCCGATAGACTAATTGAAGTGATTCATAGTAGAAAATGGAAATACAAAAATTGTACTCACACATTACGAAGAGCTTTTTACATGTAAAATATGTATGATCATAGTTTTTTTTTTACGAGAAATGATCAGTGGAAGACGCCATGAATTCTTTTCTGAGCTTAGGTTTCTGGGTAGGAACCGGAAGTAAATGTGTATACAGCAGAAACCCAAGGAAATAATAATAATACTTATAATAATAATAATAATAATAATAATAATAATTTATTATTATTATTATTTTTATTCCTTTTGATTTCTGGCGTGAACACATTACTTTCCGAGTCCAGCCCAGAGACCTAAGGTTAGAAATGGCATCATGACACTTTCCACTGACAAAAAAAAAAAAAAAAATTTTTTTTCATAGATAGATCCCTTCTAGTGTGGGCTGTAATTGTGAGAACAATTTGTTTGTATTTCTTTGAGGCATGGAATTCCAGGAATCCCTTCAATGAAACTACTGGGATCTTTTCCAGCCAATCCTAGGGCTCCAACTACAACAGGAATTGTTGATGTTCCCATGTGCCACATTTTTGAGATTTCGATTTGTTGTTGTTGTTGTTGTTGTTGTTCTTCTTCTTCTTCTTCTTCTTCTTCTTCTTCTTCTTCTTATTATTATTATTATTATTATTATTATTATTATTATGTGTGATTTTTTTCAATTGCTCAGTGGGAAATGTCATGTTGTCATTTATGATCTTAGGTCTCTGGTCGGTATCCTGAAAGAAATGAGTACTCACCAGAAATCAAAGGAAAATAATAATAATAATAATAATAATAATAATAATAATAATAATAATAATAATAATATCGTATTTGACCTTTGGTACAAGGCACCATTTTCAAAAAGTATTGTTTTGGGCTTTCTGTTCGGAATTTGTAACTCCTACTTGGTCCATTAAACGCCTCCTTCACTGTAACTTACCAAAAAGACAGAGCGTAGGCGTTAATGGCACTTATATGATTTCGAGCATTCAACTTGGAATTTCAAGGTCCAAACAAACTGCACTCTTGAGGTGACCAAGTCAAATATCACTGTCGGTGACAAAAAACAACAACAAAAAAAAATAACATATCAAGAAATGAAGAAAATACCTCCCCATCGATGTGACTCTTCCTGGTAACCGTAATATAAAGGTCAAAGAAATTGAGAACCTTAAGGAATGCATCGACCTTTCGATTTGGGTTACCAGAACGAGGGAGGTTTAGGCCACTATTGTTGCAGTTATGATTGGGGCGTTGGGGGTCTGTAGTACCAAATTGTAACATT